TGAAAGGCAGACAACAGCTGCTGAAAGGCACTGGACCATAGAAAAAAACTGCCGAGTTAAATCAGCCACAGCATTACAAGAATGCCTTGACATCAGCATGGGAAATGGGGGAAAGTGTTAAGATGGGGCTGAAGGCATGCTTATGTTTATACAGGAGACAAGAAGTTATTTATGGGGCTGGAGAGATGGCTTGGTGGTTAAGAACACTGAATGTTCCACCAGAGGTCCTGAGTTCAATTCCCGGCAACCACATGGTGGCTCACAACCATCTGTTATGAGATCTGGTGCCCTCTGCTGGCATGCAGGCAGAAGACTGTATACATAATAAATAAATAATTTTTTAAAAAAAGAAGTTATTTATGGCTTCCATAAAAATTGATTTAAAAAACCCCAAAACTCTGATATGAGCTAGAGGAGTCTCTTGGATGCTTTGTCTACTGAGATGAAAGGCATGCCTCTGGGAAAGAAAAGATACATAAGGCCGTTGGAGCAGATCCTTCCACCTGGGACAAATTAAGAATTTGTGTGACAAAGGGGAGGTGATAGTTCCAATGACTCGGACACCTCTAAATGCTACAAATCTGTTCCTTGCAATGCTATCTGTGGTCGCCATACAGGTAACAGGGGCAAACTTTACATATTGGGCTTTTATCTCCAATCCTCCAATTCACCTAGCAGTAAGTTGGGGAGCTGTAGATATTCCCGTAGTGGTTAATGAATCTTCTTGGCTACCTGGTCCTCATGACAACCGACTGCGTGGTATCTTGCTTGCACAAATAAAGCTTGTCTGAAGATCAGAGGATGGAGCATGCCACTGGCTAACCACAGAGGTCTGGAGGTCTATACAGATAGGAAGTGAGCTGGCTGGGCGGAGACAGGAAGTGAGATGGCTGGGCAGAGACAGGAAGTGAGATGGCTGGGCAGAGACAGGAAGTGAGATGGCTGGGCGGAGACAGGAAGTGAGATGGCTGGGCAGAGACAGGAAGTGGGCAGAGAAAGAATATAAGCAGGAAGAAATAGGAACTCACTCTCTCTTCTACTGGAAGCTAATGAGGTAAAGGTGGCTTTGGTTTGCTGCTTCTCTCTGATCTCAGCGTTTTCCTCCACATCTGACTCCAGGTTTTTATTATTTAGATCAATTAAGAACTCTGTTTACAACCGAGGTCCTACTCAGCCAATGGAGGAGGGCAAGGAGGCTAAAATGTATACTGTAAGAGTACAAGAAATTCCTATTTGTATGGGAACTGGAATTCATCGCCTAAATGTCACCTTTCAAGTATGGCTGTCTCTAGTTAACACTACCCAAGATTATCAGAGTAAGTTTTATATGCTGCGTGCATCTGGTTTTAAAGGACAGGAGATTAACACCACTGGTTCTGTACATCTACTGTCTTATGAGACGTTGGTCACCAACAAGGAATCTGACCGGCTGCATTGGCAATCATGAAAAGGAGAGAAACCTAGAGTACTAATTGATGTCTCCCAAGGAGACGTCATAGACGGAGCCCTTATGGCTTCCCTGGAGGAAAATATTGTGAAAATTGGCAAGTGCCTTCCACCCTCTTAAGGAGCGGGAAGGAAAGGTAAACATGAAGGATGATGAATGTAGTCTGTCTTTTAGACTAACACAAAGTCATCCTTCTAGGGCAATGTGTGCCACTACCTTACTTGCTATTAAAGGGCTTGTACAACGTCACACTAATAATTACAGCATCGCTTGTGAACGCTGTACCCTTCATACCTCCGTTAATTCTAGTCTGTCTGTCTTTAAACTTAACCTCTGAGGGCTGGAGAGATGGCTCAGCGGTTAAGAGCACTGACTGTTTTTCCAGAGATCCTGAGTTCAATTCCCAGCAACCACATGGTGGCTCACAACCACCTTGAATGAGATCAGGTGTCCCCTGCTGGCGTGCAAGCTGAAGACTGTATACGTAATAAATGAATAAAATCTTAAAAAAAAAAAAACTTAACCTCTGAAATTTATCCATCCTTGAGCAAGGCCAGCAGTATAGATACCAGTGAAGCCGTCGAGGCCCTGGTATGACTCTCCTGTGATGCTCCTGGTACAGAAGCGCTCACTGAAAGAATATTAAGAACACATTGAGTGGTTGAACTGATTATCGCATCACCTGCTACTGCTGCAAGAGCCAGAGTGGCCCTTCATAAAGAAATTCAAACTGCTGGGTTTGTTAGAGACTGCCATACTCATCCTACAGAACTCTGGGCTCAACAATGTCAAATAGATAACGAGATAGTTAATGAAATAGCCAATCTGAGACAAGCTGTTATTCTATTGGGAGACCAACTACAAATTGTGGGGGGCTTGTTCTTTTGCCAAGACAAATAATAGGATGTTGGGCCAAAGGTGTGGTTACTAGATGTTTTGAGAATTACGGAGGTGATTGTGCTTGTTTCTTAAACTATGGTAAGGAAGTCTTTGATGCATCCTGTTTTCTAGTTCTGGATTACAGCCCGGGCCTTGCCCCGCTGGCATCAAAAGCGCACGAGCTCTTGCACCTGGGGTTTTTCCACTGTGCCGTAGGTCTGTATATAAGGCTAACCCTAACCCTGCAAAAAAGAGAGACGCATACCCATTCTCCTAGTACAAACAACCAGACGTCTCTGCTTTTAATTAAATCTCCAGGCTTTCGCCCGAGAAAAGGCGTTATTTGCTGTAAGGCTGCATAATTTTCAGCCCAGTTATAACATATACAAAAGGGGGATATGTTAGGGGTATGAAGGGTACAGACCCCTGCAGCTGGCTTGATTCTGGGGTGTTAGCACCTGGCTTTGATCTGCCTTTTGTGACTGCTACTTTTTGTCTCGGATACCTCCTGTTTGAAGTGTGTAAATCTTATCTGAGCAGTTCCTAAAGGTTCAAAGCCTATACAAAACTTGGTTCCTTGAGGCGAGATGTCTCTTAACTGAAACTTTGCATTGGCATTGTTTCTTTGGGAAGTTTAGATAAGAGGTTTTGTTATATGGACATTGACATGCTTAAGGTGTGAACTGTGTAACAATAAAAAGGCCCTTGGCAAATTGTTTGATTTTTACTCTAGCTCCATGTTAGAACACCAAAATATTGTTGGTTGATATTACTCTTTAACTCTTTTCGGGGGCCCACCACCCAGCTCCTAAATAAATCATACACGTGGAGGCTTAGTCTTAAATTATAAATGCCCAGCCTTAGGTTGGCTTGATTCTTGCCATCGTTTCTTCACTTAATTATCCTGACTAACTTTTGCCTCTGGGCGTTTACCTTTCTCTCTTTTTTTTGTCCATCTTACTTTCACTCTTACTCTGTAGCTGGGTCCTGATGTCCTCCTCTCTTTGTTCTCTCTTGCTCCTCCTTCTCCTCCCCCAGATTTCTCTATTTATTCTCTCTGCCCACTCGTCCCACCGTCCTTGGGTGGGACTTTTTCCTGCCTTGCTATTGCCGTTGAGCTCTTTGGTAGACCACCAGGTGTTTTAGACAGGGAATCACAGCGCCACAGAGTTAAACAAATGCAGCATAAATAAAAAGCAATACACCTTTAATACAAATGCTCCACAGAGTTAAACAAATGTTCCACGGTACAAACAAAAGTAACACACTGTAAAATAACATGCTACAACACGGAAGCGGCAGTGAGTCAGCCAGCCATGGGCCGATCCCCTTGTAGCTGGAAAGGCTGAAGAACCATCCTTAGAGTGCCTCTCTGTCTTCTTTCCATGGACCCGAGGGAACCCACACCCGGTACAACAGGGAGGTTCAGAACAAAGGTGCCCAGCCAGACTACTCGATTAAAATCGGGATGCACTTTATATAGGACCAGTTGGGACAACTGGTGACATTTAAATAAGCTGTTTAAGTTGTACACTGTTGTGCATCAATACCAGACTTGGTTGAATATTATATTACAGCTGCTTAGGGGAAACACACTTTTAAAGTCTTTGATGTAAGAGATAAGACATCTGAAAAGTTGTGTATGGAGGTGTCAGTGTTTTGAGTGTGCACAGATTCATGAATTTGGAGGGAACGATGACTCAAATAATTTAACAACTGTTGAATCTGGATTAAGGGTATAAAACTATATAATTTTTTAGGTTGTCTAAAAATTCTAGGTTTCTAAAAAGTTTAATAATGTACATATACCATTAAAATCTCACTAGAGGAAACTAAACCTTCATTATCTGTATCTTTTAAAAATGATTTATCTTTAACCCGAGCATGCACGAGTGTGCGTGTGCGTGCACGTGCCAGCGCGCTTGAGGCCAGAAGCATTGTGACCTCGGGAGCTGGAGTAACTGCTGGTTGTGAGCCACCAGCTGTGGGTGCAGGTGGCAAACTCTGAAAGAGGAGCCCACACACCCCCACATCTGTAGCTTCTGTGTGTGGGTGTGCTGCAGGTAGGTATGTCTTTGGAGGCTGGAGGATGACTTAGGTGTCTTCCTCTGTCACACTGCCCCTGCTGCCTAGAGACGTGGTCTGTCAGAAAGACCCAACAATCCCATCTCACTTCCCACAACTCCAGGGTTCCAGACCTACATGGCCACACCCAGCTTTTTACATGGGTATTGGGGATTCAAACTCAGATCCCCATGCTTGTCCCGCAAGCTTTTACCCACTGAGCCACCTTTTCCAGCCCCGCTTTTTTGTCTAAAAACACACATCTAGCTTTCACATTTTATGGTTTTCCAGGTTAAAATATTTTGAGCAACTTTCAGCGGTCACAGCTAATGCTGCCTCTTCTCTCTCAGAATGCCGCTGGACTGCAAAGAAGAAAGTTCCAGCTTTAAAGCCAACCAACTATAAAACAACGATGCAATGAACATCTCCTTCAATACAGTTATAGCTGACACCAATTTAACCTTTGATGATCAGAGATGCATTGTACAGCCTATTTCTGTGCGTGGAAAAAAAAAAAAAACCCACAGGCTAAGTCCGTGGCTACAGGAAATTTTTAGTCGGAAATTTAATTTTCCACACCTTTAGGCTTGAGTGAAACTAACGCCCACTTTCAAGTATAGAGAGCGAAGTCAGCATTATCCAAGTATTGGTTCAGCTGGTACCTCTTCTCTTGGCACACGGTCCACTGAAAGACGATCGCTGATATTCAGTCTTGTCACGAGGGCCACCGCCTGTGTTTCTTCCTTTAAAATGAGTCCTAGGTGTTAATAACTCTGGTATATTATAGTTTTAAGGAGTGTTGGATCTCGAGTCAGTAGAAGCCTGTTCCTACGTGTGATGGTTTTTCTAGGGACTAGCTCTGGGATGGACTCTTGGAAAACTTGAAGATGGACAACCCCACGAAATAAAAGCGTGCTTTGGAGCCAGGGCTGGCCACAAACCCGTCATCTTCTAGCCAGGGCCTCCGGAACGCCGGGTGCACGCTCACG